GTTTGGTTTTCTGGGTTTTACAAGACATACTTACAACATAATGACACAGAATGGTTGAAAATAAAAAGATGGAAAGAGATACACCAGGCAACCACAAAAGAAACAAAAAGATAGCTATTGTTATCAGACAAAATAGAATTTAAGGTTAAAAAACAATGAGCAGGTAAACATGTAGTGAACTTAACTAGGCAAACTGGGTTATAGTCATGGCTCTGTGACTTCTACTGTGGGACCTCAGGCAAATTGCTTTATTTTCAAGCTTCAGTTTCTATCTCTATAAAAGGTGATAATATATTCTTTGCAGAATTGTGAGAATGAAATAAGATAACAAAAACCCTAACCAAACCCGCTGCTGTCGAGTTAATTCTGACTCATAGCAACCCTACAGGACAGAGTAGAACTCCCCCATAGGGTTTCCAAGGAGCTGCTGGTGGATTCAAACTGCCAGCCTTTTGGTTAGCAGTTATAGCTCTTGACCACTGTGCCACCAGGGCTCTGAAATAAGATAAGGCATGAGGAGCTGATATCCTATAGCTATAAAGCTATCAAACTACATCACATAATCAATTCAGTCAGCAATTATTTACTGAGTACCTACTATGTGTCAGGAACTGTACTGGGAACCATCCAGATGGAGATGTCAGTCATACTTGTCATCAGGGAGATTATATGTAAAAAGTAAGTCCAATGAAGTCTTCCAAGGCATTATGATGGGGAGGGGAGATTTATATACTGGAGAGGGTAGCCAGTTATAATCTGCAGCAGCGTCAAAAAAGATTTCATAAGGGAGATGACTCTTAGGCTGAATCTTAAAAGATGGGCACGTGTTGGGACAGACTGAGGAAGAGGAAAGGCATTCCATGAAACAGTACAGCATAAATATATACGGCCTATAAAGAAAGGAGCTCTGGGGACACAGTGGTTAAGAGCTCGGCTGCTAACCATAAAGGTCAGCAGTTCAAATCCACCAGCTGCTCCTTGAAAACCCTATGGGGCAGTTCTACCCTGTCCTATAGGGTCGCTATGAGTCAAAATCCACTCAATGACAACAGGTTTATATAGAAAACTCTGGTGTTTGATGAGATGGAGAAGGTGACAATGGCAAAGATATTGGGACTTTATCCTGCAGGCAGTGGGGAGCCATTTGAAGAGAACGATTAGCTCCATTTTGTAGTTTAGAAGGCTTACTTTGGCACCAATATGAGAGATTGGGAGTGAGGGGCTATGCAGTGGCGGGTGACTAGTTTAAAAAACCCATTGCCATTGGGTCAATGCTGACTCATAGCTACACTGCAGGACAGAGTAGAACTGCCCTTTAGGGTTCCCAAGGCTGTAAATCATTATGGAAGCTGACTCCCACATCTTTCTCCCATGGAGAAGCTAGTAGGTTTGAACCACTGACCTTTTGGTCAGCAGCCTTAACCACTGAGCAACCAGGGCTCCTACTAGTTTAGAAGCAGGGAGATTAATAAGGAAAGTACAGGCAGTCCCCGATTTACAAAGTATTCCAGTTACAATGAACTGTACTTATGATCATTTTTTTTTGCACGTCTTATCGTTAGTAATATTTTCTACATACAATGTTGCACCACGGAATTTGCTAATGTTATCATTCTCAGATGTTCACTCGCAGATGTTCAATGTTATGATTTACTGTTCAAAATACTGCCATAGAGCAGCCTAGGACCTGGTCTACAATGAAGTCGGTGTTGGTATCAGGAGTCTTAACGGACAGAAAGTTGGGCAATGTTCAACTCTAACAACATACGACAATTCAACTGCTCACATGCCCAACAGCCATTACTTGATAATACCCCAGGACATCCTCCTCACATAGGTGATCTAAATCAAGATGGAAAAGTGGTGTATCGACGTCTCAATACGACAGCTGTGATTCAGCCTATGGATCAAAATGCAATCGCCACCTTCAAGGCATACTACCTACAGACTACGTTTGCTCAGGCAATAGCTGCAACAGATGAAAGTACGGTAACATTACTTGATTTCTAGAAGAATTATTATACGTATTCTTCAGTGTATCCAGAACATTGCATCTTCCTGGAAGGAAGTTACAGGAAAATGCATACAGGGGATATGGAAAAATTGCTGAGTTATGTGAACACGCTCCAAGCATTTGATCAGGATAGTATGATGGAAGAGATCAGTGGAAAAATCATCCATATGGCAAGAACATTGTATTTAAAACTTGATATCACCAATATGGAACAACTAATAGATCACAAAGAAGGGGAATTGACAGATCAGGACTTAATGGATTTTGAAGAGGAAATAAATGCTGAAGAAGAAAGAAATAATTAGGAGGAGGAAGGAGTGAAGTTGTCAAAACATTTTACAGTGAAAGGATTAGCTTAAGCTTTTTGTAAACTAAATCAGAGGCTTCAGTTGCTTGGAAACATGGACACAAACACTGATTGCTTTGCTGAAGTGGATAGGCAGATTCTGGAAGCTGTGAGATGTTACTGCAAAATATATGAAGAAAAAAAAGAAAAGGACCTACAGACAACCCTAATTTTCTCACTAGAAACGCCACCCTCTTTCCCACAGATAATCCAGAACCTTCCACAATTGGAATTATTACTGCAACTGACAAAGCGACAATGTTGCCCAACTCTTCCTCATTGCCAGAGTAAATTCTTATGTTTTGTGTATTTTTTTATGTATGAATGTATTAAAATATATCTGTAACTTCATATGTAATGTTTCCAACCCCTAAAGACAAATACAAAACCAAAAACCAAACCCGTTGCCATCCAGTTGATTCCAACCCTATAGGACAGAACAGAACTGCACCATAGGGTTTCCAAGGAGCAGCTGGTGGATTCGAGCTATTGACCTTTGGTTAGCAGCCAAGCTCTAAGATCGGATTTATACAGATACTGATAATAAAAGGCAATAATAATAAAAAAAATTAGGTATTCCACTTACGTCAGAACCAACTTACAAAGAAGTCATCAGAACGGAACTCTGTTGTAAGTTGGGGACTGCCTGTAATGCAATGCTTCAGGGGCTTGAAACAAGGGATCTGAAATAAGGCAAGAGCAATGAAATGCAGGGAAGGTGATAGGAACAATGAGTGTCAGGGGAAGGGGTAAGGGAGTAGTCTTGGATGATTTTCAGGATTCTCTTTTGTTTGGCTGACTAGATGGATTGTGGTGACATTTACTGAGAATGAGATTAGAGACAGAAGACATATTAGCAAGAAAGCCAACTTCTGTTTTAAGCAAGTTGAGTTTAAGGCCCATGGGACATCTGGGTAGAGATTTCTGGTAAGAAGTTGGCTTTACAGAAATGGAGGGCTGGAGAGAGATCTGGAATAGAGAAGGAGATTTATGAGGTTTAGTACATGGTTTGCAGTTGAAGTCATGGGTGGGTCTGGATAAACCACTCCGTGTGCCCAAGTAGCATCAGAAACAGACCAGTGGAAGACTGTGTAGTCACCCCAACATTTAGGAGGTAGCAAAGGGGCTGAGCAGGAAATGGTCAGAGAACTTGGACACTGAAGAGTCATGGGAGCCAATGGAAGAGAGGGCTTCAACAATGAAAGTCTGGTCAACAATGACAATTGCTGGAAATATGTCTAGTAAGGAGAACTGGAAAAAATTCCAAAGGTTTAGGCAACTATTAAAGCCATGGGTGACCTCTGTAAGGGCTGTTTTGGTGGAATAGTGCGCACAGAAGCCCGTCTGCAGGGGCCTGAAAAATGAGTGGTAGATTAATATGTAGATGTGAGAATAATGAGAACAGCCTTTTATCTTCCTAGGACCTTGGCTCTGACGAGGTAGGGGATGGGGACAGACTGGATCAAGTAAGTTTTTTTTTTAAATTTTTCTCTGTCTTGAAACATGTGAATGAGTTTTAACATGATGATCAAGGACCTCGGAAGATGCCGGTAGATAGCCTGAAAGTCCAGAAGAGGACTTGTAAAGCCTCTTGGATTGAAACGAGATAGAAACCGTCTTTGATGCTACTAAGATGACCCAAAACGCTATTTGTAACTTTTTTTGCAAAAGGCAGGAGGAGGTGACTTGCCATTATATGGAGCACTCGCTGTGAACCATCCTCTTTCCCATGAGTGAGTGTAGTGCCGGAATTGGGAGAAGGCAGGTCGACTCCTCTTCGAAACCATAATTAAAAGAAATAAAAATAAAAAAGCACTCCCGCAAGATTAACCCATTTTGCAGGTGCCAACTCATCTGCAATTTTCTTAACATCACAAAGCCTATCCCTGGAGCAGCTTGTTCGCGAGAGGCTCTGGAGTACGATGATCTCGCCTGCTCTGCTGAAGTCGGTTACTGTCAAGTGCGATTTCTTTCCACTCTGGGCGCCCCGAGGAGGGGGAGGCGCCTGCAGCGCGGTCGACGGGCGTTTGGAGGCAGGCCGCCGGGGACTGCAAGCACCGGGAAAGGAAAAGGGGTGCGGGGAGGCGTCTCCCAGGACTCGCGGCGACCGCTGTCCCCCGCGCCAGCCCGCCCCAGCCGGGCTTTCCCCGCCGCTCGGCAAGCGGCCGCCGGGTACCCGTGACCACCCGGCGACCGCTTTCGGTTCCGCGCCTTATAAGGCCTGACAGGAGGGTCACGTGCGCCCCGGGCCGCCCGCCGGGAGGAGGGGGCGGCGGGGGGAGGGGCGGGAAGCGGGGAGGAAAAGGGGAGGGAGCCGGGGGCGGGGGAAGGCGCGAGGGGCGGATTCTGCGGCCGTGGGAGGCGGCCGCGGCGGAGCGGAGCGCTCGGAGCCGCGGAAGGGAGCAGGACCGCGGAGGAGGAGGAGGAGCAGGAGGAGAAAGGGACCGGCACGGGGGCGGGAGAGCGCGGCGCGGCGGAAGCCAGAGACGTCGGGAGGACCGGTGGCTGCCCCGGGCGGGAACCGG